CATAATACATATCACTGACACATATGTATATAATATTTATTTGTTTACTGTTCATCTTCCCTCTAGATTGTAAACACCATGAGAGCAGGGACTTGGTTTCACTTATGGCTGTATCATATACCCTCTATCTCCCATGTCTAAAACAGTGCCTACCTTAGGTGCTTAATAAATATTTGTCAAATGAATAGCCAAAATAAAATGTTATACAACCAGTCTTCTGTGACCCAAGCTTCTGGAAGAAATTCCTCACAGAGATAACTTATTTTTGTAAGCCATTCAACAATTCCGGCTAAGCTCTTCATACGCCCTGTCTCACTTTCTGGGTTACCTTTTGCATCATCCCTGCCACCACCCATGCCAGAAAGCACTGGTGATACCTGGAAAAGCATATTGGCTGGTGGTAGGGACACTGAGATGTAGTTTTTTATTTCAGGAAACCCAAGAGGGAGGGAGAATCCCAGGTGATGCTGATTTCTAACATGTGTAATTCAATTATTCTGAGAGCAGTTATTTCACAGACTTCACTGAATACCTGCTTGAGACAGGGCTGCAGAGAGGAATAAGACATAGTCCTGATCCCAGTCTGATGACAGAACCAAATAGATTGAGTAAAATATAGCAAAGAGGAGAGAGGAAGAACTTCTGCCTGAAATTACTTGGGAGAGAGGCAGAGTTTTTGAGTGTCTTCACGAAGAACATGATGTTTGAGCAGGATTTTAAAGAATGAATAGAAGTTCGGTTTGTGGTAAATGAGAAAAGGGGATAGGAAGGCATTTTAAATAAAGGAACCAGCATCAGCAAAGGGGATAGATGTGTGGGATAGAGACAATATTAAAAATATTTAACAATAAGTGATATACAGACATCAACAAATCCAAATGGACATCCTAAGCAAACTGAACATCAGCAGTAGACAAACCGGTATGGCCATACAAGTGTACGTCACTTAATAATCAGATCCAAAAAAGACCAGAAATGTTGGCAGTCTGGCATAGCTAATGTTAATGTCATAATAATAGCTAACAGTGCATACTACAAGCCAGGCACCAGGCTTTGCATGCTTTATTTTATCAAATCCTCCAATCAAACCCTATACAGTAGATACTGTTGCCATTCCCACTTTATAGGTAAGAAAATTGGGTATCAGAGAGATAAAATTACTTCCCTAACTAAGGTCATCCAACTTGGAAATATTAGAGCTGGGATTTAAACCTATACAGGCTGATGCCAGAACTTATACTCTTAACTAAGGTATACTGCCTCAGGTAGTGGTTAGAACATAGGTTTGCCTCTTTAACACTCTGGGGATATATAAAGAGATAAAATAGATTGACATTTCCCATATAGACATTACTGTCTGGATGAGGAAATAAGACTCTTCAGCCATGCAACCTAAGAAACATTGCAAGGACTGTCTCATAGCAACACATAACACTTCCCCCAATGAATAGGACATTTAGTGAACGCTGTAGCTTTTCACTGAAACTGGAGTGCTTGGGGAAGAAATGAAACTTGGACTTGGCCTTGAGAAGTATGCAATAGTAGGAAGAATATGGCATTATGGACAGAAGTGCTAGCATCCATTTGCTAGCTGTGTGACCCAGGTCAAAGTAATTTCCTTCAGTGTTCTCATCTATAAAATGGGTGACATGTATTAGACCAGTGACTCTTAACAGAAGTATTTATTCCCTAGGAGGTATTTTAGAAATTGTGAAGCCATTTTTGGTTGTCAAAATGATGGGGTAGGCACTTACTAGGTGGGGACCAGAAATAATAGATGTTCTATACACTACAAAGAATTGTCCTGCATCTAGCCCTACATTTAGAAGACCTCTGGATATTCATGGAAGTGAAAACTGTTTATAATTATCTGAGTCTAGAACATAACCACATTTTACATATGGAAATGAATCTTTTCATGGTTTTATTATTACTGATTAGAACTACCCAGTAAATAAAAGGAAGATTGTGCTTTTTTCCCCAAACATTACCATGAGTTATTTAATATTTACCATTTCAGAGAATCACTGCACTAATAGCAATAGCATTCATGGCACTTGAGTCACCAATACCATGTCCCGGTGTCATTCCGTGTCAGAAGGCTGTCATGTTCATAATGATTCTGTGTAGAGCCATTAGCCTCTGACTACCACTTCATTACATTTGCTAATATTGCTATGCATGTGCTTTCACATACTTAAATACATATTGTTTCTTTATGAATGACTTTCCTTTTGTTATTTTTTCCTTTGCAATACAGTTAGGACATACTATGTGCTTTTCAAATTTTTGCTTACATTTTTATTATAATTTATCCCTATGAATTTCTTTTTAGGATAGCAAGAGAGAATAATAAACAATTATAATAAAAAATAATGTGCTGCTCTGATAAAGAACCACTGTATTAGATGATCTCCCAAGGCCTTTCCAGTTTTAATTTTCTGTGGGTGTAAGGAGGGTTGGATTTTGAGAGGAAGGAGAGAGCATTCCAAGGTGGGAATGACACCAGCAACATGGCCTGGTCAAGCAGGGGTGGAATGTCCCCAGACAAGCTGGGATAGGCAGAGGCTTCCTAAAGACCTGGTCTGGTCTTGTTCCCTGGAAGCCACTCCTTTATTCCTCCCTCTTCACTGTAATTGAAGACTCCTGGGGAAACTGCCAGGGCTGGCATTACAGGAAATTGCCTTGTGGTCAATGGGGCTTCTCTGGTTACTTTCCTCAGTGACAGAGGACAGTGATGGCTTCCTGTTAGTTGGGTGTCCTTGCCTCCTTGTTCTGATGCGTTCCTAAGAAACCTTAACTTCTTTACATGTCTGTGCCCCTTTAATATTTTGAAATAAAAAAAGAAACCTTAGCTTCTGCTCCTTACGTTTTTGCTCAGCTCCTGTTATTGAAATTTTTTTTCCTATCTCGTCCAGCCCCCTTGCTGCATGCTAGAGATCTGGAAACTTTTCATCTATGGTAGACCAATTTTATGGGATGCCTGAACAGACACTTGGAAGTAGGCCATAGCTTCAAATAGATGCCACTTCAACTCTGAGAACACCTGTCGAGTTCTCTCCCTTGAAAGGGATGACATTTATCATTTAATAACATGTATTTTTTTCATCTTACTAACTATGCTCATTGAAAACTACTTGGAAAATATAGAAATGTATGGGGAAACAAATACAAATTTTCCAACATTAGGCAAGGTAACAGCATAGGTGAAGATTAAATTCAGTGCTGCTCTCCCAGTTCTCTATTCTGTGCCAGCCCCCAGCTTCCTCCTCCCAGAGCATTTCTTGATCTAACCCTTATGAAAACTTGCCTGTCCTATATACCATAAAATGGAAGGCAAACTGGAAAGTGTACAATAACACTTACCATGTCAAAGGCATATTAGAGAGATAAAATATCTCATATAAGGAAGGTGTTGGGAATCTAAAATAGCAATATTTTGTCTTAGCTCTGCCATCACTACCTTATTACCGAGGTGTTGTGATGATAAAGTGTCACAGGAATGTCTAAAGAGATAAGACACCATTTGAGAAATTCGCAGTGTTCCCCAGGAATTAGGAAAAGGCACACAGTACACAGAGGCAAGAATGATTAAGTGTGAAGTAGGCTCATAAATATGCCTTTCTTTTTGGAAAAAAACAGCCAACATTAAACAAAAAAGTTGAATGATACTAAATCCATCCCAGAGATAAAGTTCTTGTTACAGATAATAGTTAGAATTTATATTTTACTTTTTCCCCAAGGTGGATAGGGTCAGAATGGCAATTTTCCTTGTTTTTGTGTCCTCATATTGAGTTTCTGGTAGACGGAGGACTTAGAAAACACTAAAACATAAGGGTTAACGTGAAGGCTTTGGAGTTAGTCATACCTGGGTCCAAATTCTAGCCCCATTCATGTGGTCATCAAACATTCTTTGAGTGCCATCCATGGTTTTAGGGATTTGGCATACACTGTTGGACAATACAGATAAGGTCACTACTTACATGGAGCTTACATTCTAGCCGGGGAAGACAGAGTGTCTCATGATTAAAAGATAACAGAGTGATATGACTGGAAGTACCTGGGGACTACCTTTGAGCAGTCAGGAATGGCCTCTCCGAAAATGGACAATTGAACCAAGACCTGGATAATGAAAAGAGGCCCCCAATAAAAAAAAATCTAGGGGAAGAACATTCCAGGAAGAAGTAACAGCTAGGGCAGAAGCCCTGAGGCAGGAAAAGGCTGGATGTTTTTAAAGAATAGAATGAACGCCCACTTGTATGATTGAAGCAGAGTGAACCAGAGAGAGTGTGAGGAGATGAGATTGGAGAGGATCAGCACATGTCAAGTCATGTGGGAGCCTTGCAGAAATTCAGCTAGTAATCATCATCATCATCATCATCATCATCATCAAGCAGAGGAGAGGGAAAAATGAAGTTGGGGAGTTTGGGGGGAACTGTACAATAACACCTGAGGAATTCAGATCTAACTGGGCGTGGGGGTGTCACTGTAAGGTTTGAATGGTGTACTGAAAATGGAGCTTGAGGAAAACAATTCTGAGAGCGGACTACAGGGTGGCCATTTTCATCTGTCACTACATTTCTAGTGCTCGAATTTCTCTCAAGTTCTCTGCTAAAGCTACTGCTTTCTCAATGAGTGCAAATCCCTAAGTCACTGGGTACCTGCTTTCTCACAAGAATATGTCTAGGGTCTACTTCCAGCTTCATGTAAAGAAATTCTCTTATACTTTGTGACTGGAATTTCTACCAATGAGGAGGTTTCTAAATCACAATTCTCAAACCAGCTACCAAACAGGATATCTGGTGAGGTATCAACCTGAACTAAAAGAATGCTGGTTTAAGATTAGTTTTTATTTCATTTGACTTGTGACATCATCATATAAGATCATTAAGGCACTCTAAATTTACTTGGTAAGGAGGAATATGGTTAAGGCTTAGGTTCCCTGGGGCAACATTGCTTCTTGGTTTATTAACTTTTTCCTTTTTTTTTTTTTCCAATAGGGAGAGAAGAAGCCTTATGGAAAGCTATGCGGGGGCCAAGACTGCAGTGGGGGCTGTAAATGCTTTCCTGAGAAAGGAGCAAGAGTAAGTTGCTTATTTTATTGTTGAAAGACAGATAGTCACAGGGGAGCTGTTATCTGTTTTCTTTAGAATTAAACTGCTTAGAATTTACTCTTATGACCTCATGGAAGAAGCAAAGTGATGAATACCAGCTGGAAGGAGCTTTGCTAACTAATGATAGGCAGACCTAGACTGGTCAAAGTCTCTGAGCAACCAAGAAGAGGTTTCCTTCCTTACCTTGATGCCAAGGTTTCCTCAGAATTTCATCTGGAGTATTTCCAAAAGCCAATTAAGTTGTGCGGAACCAGATTGTGGTGATGTTTGTAGATGTGTGCACATTTTCATAACTCATTTATACCCACTTGATTCTTCCCTACCACTCTGGGTAACAGGTGGTCCAATTGTTATCTACAGACTGGGAATGCGACTTATCCAAAATCATCCTGCTTGTTAGTGATAGAAACAAGAGTACAGGGTAGCCGTAAAGTCCAGAAATAGAGGCCAACTATACATAAAGAATGGTTTGTAGATACTACATTAAGCATAGGATATGTTTTAAAACATCGTGACTTATTCACTGTCTTGTCCCTCATTAGCAATGCACAGTTTAAATTGTTGTGCAAATTGCAATGAATACAGTGCATTGACACAGCATTTCCATCGATCCCTGTTTATGCATGGCCCCCAGATGATTTGTATCTCTGATTTTCACTGAATAAACCTGCATCTTTAGTATAACCCAGAAAAAGTATTCAAGGGAGTTTGATCTGTAAAAATAAATACATATATATACACAGACACACACAAATATACAAGTTGAGCATCCCTAATCCAAAAATATGAAATCTAAAATGTTCCAAAATCTAAAACTTTCTGAGTGCCAACATAACACTAAAAGGAAATGCTCACTGGAGAATTGTCAATTTCAGACTTTCAGATTAGGAATGCTAAATTGGAGAAAGAGAGAGAGAGAGAGAGAGAGAGAGAGAGAGAGAGAGAGAGAGAGAGAGTATATATATGTATGTATGTGTGTGCATGTTTCCAGAGTTTATGGCCACCCTGTAGAATTCATATCTTCCAACTTCAAGTATTGTGTTTGTGCTGTCATCACACTCAAATAAGCCTAAGAACTTACACTGTCAAAGGAAGGTAGTAGCATAAATAGGTCAACCAGACCTTCAAAAACATAGCCAAACAGGGAACACAGTGACCGTTCCACCTCCTCTTTCATTATCTTACATTTGCAGTAAAGTGAAATGTCAAACTATGCCAGAATTTGAAGGAAGAGAATAAAAAGCCATCTATTCATCAAAAGGGACAAGACCCCATTATACATTAAAGACATAGACATAGAATCATAAAATATCAGAAAGGGAAGGTAACTTAGTGAGCTTCTCATCTTATCCATTGCTTGTACAGAGGAAACAGACTCAGAAGGAAAATTACTTCTCAGGATCACATAGCAAATTGATGACAGATTCCAGGCTATTACCTGAGTCCTTTGATTTCTCACCTATTTACTTTACCCTCTTACCCACTGCTGCCTCCCAGGGAAGCCATGTTCACTGTAGCCACCAAGGCCCATGCTCTCACCTCTGAAACATTTCAGAAAAACATAATTCCGCAATAAATATATGAATGCATTCTTTTTTTTTTTTATTTTTATTTTTTATTTCAGCAAATTATGGGTGTACATACGTTTAGGTTACGTGTGTTGCCCTTGGTTCCCCCCCCCACCGAAGTCCGTGTTTCAAATATGTCCATCCTTCGGGTAGTGCGCATTGCCCTCCTTGTGTAAGCCCATTATCCAAAGTGGAGCACCACAAGAGCAGCAGAACGGGACCCATTTGTACTCACCATCAAATTGGTATTAACTAATCAACACATAAATGCACATATCAGAACATCTATTGGATGCTGGGGAAGGGGGAGGGTGGTGGGTGGAGGGGGGAAGAGGGAGGAGGGGAGGGGTATGTGTATACACAATGAATGCATTCTTAAATAACATGCAAGTAGTACAGGCAAAGCAAAAGTCTCCCTTGATGTTCTCTCAGTACCACTATTGTCTTTCTTGTCTTTTTCTGTGCGTAATCAGAGATGTATACACACATCTATAAAAATAGTTTCAGTTTCTGGTTTTCTTTTCTAAAATAGAATCATAAGTATATATTCTGGGTCCTTTCACAATACTTAGTATGTCCTTAAGATCTCTACTCCATAGTTTAATATAGCCATTCCTCTTTTGTTGGGTACTTGGGTTGTTTCCAAATTTTGCTGTTCTATAAAAATGGCAGTGCTACAGTGGAAATCTGTGAGCAGGCCTTCTTGTACTCATCTCTAGCATAGATATTAAGAATCAGAATGATCAGATACAATGGTAATAGACATTTTTAACTTTCAAAGGTATGGCCAAATAACCCTACAGAGTATCTTCCAGTTTACACTCCCATAAGCATTGTACAAGAGTGCCCATGTTTTTACACCCTTGCCAACACTTGATGTTTTTACTGATATGATGAATGAAAATCATCCTAATTCCCTGACTACATGTGAGTTTAAGCATCTTTTCACATATTTACTAGAAATTTGTGTTTCTTCTGTGAATTTCCTGGACATACTCTCTAACCACTTTCCTACGTGATGATTCTTTGTTGACTTACTTTACCTCTGCAAAGATACAGCAAATAAAAATGACCCTAGTGGAAGCAGATGAGATTTTAGGGTAGACACAAAGGGGTTAAACCTCTTTGGGTTGTGGGAGGGGGGAAGCAGTTAGTCAGACTCAGTAACTGGAGAACTGAGAAGAAGCTCTGGACTGTGTTGGATTGGGGAGGCTTTAGAAGTATAAAATCTTATATATCTGAACTGAGGTCAGTCCTACACCAGACAGTCATGCCTATGATGACCTCATTGTTTAACCCCTGGCTGAGATTTTTATCTTTGCAGATGGAAGGCAGTGGATTTACTTTGTAAGGAACTCTCAAACATCTGGAGCCCTAGTCTGGCTTCTCCTTTGAAAATATCTGAGTGGTTCAAGGGGTGAGGGATAGAGTAAAACAGAATATCACTGCACAGTTGTTTTTTCTTCAATATTTGAAAGATGCAAACAGACTGCACACAAACATGTTCCTAAAAATTTATTTATGAAGTATGAAGTTTCTAAGAACATTTGTTAAGTTTACTGAACTAGACTAAGCTGTATGTCATGAGTCAAGGGCAGAAGTGTCCTAATTCCCAAACAGACAAGGCCGGTGCTCGTGGGGCAAACTCTGTGAACATGTATTCTTGAAGCCACCCTCACTCTCAGGTCCCGTTTAGTCATCCTCCTTTCCCTCCTGCATTCCCAGGGCCAGACACAATTGTTTAAACTGGCCCCAGCACTATTGACCCTGCAGGACAGCCCCTCAGTACCCGTTTTGTGCAGATGTCAGAAAGATTTGAGACTGTTTTACTTAGCTGAGCAGAGGGCCCCATTTGGATTTCAAGCCTCTCCTCTCAACCTGTGAGGGGAGCAGAACATTGGGTCACCCCAGAGATGTGCTGCAGCCCTTGGCAGGACTGTCTCCGCCTTGGGGAGACATCAAGCACATCGCTTACTGGGCAGTGTGTACTTTTCCTCTGCCAAAGGCTTCTTGAACTTACTAGGACATTTACACAACACCTAGCACTCCTACAAAACTGCAGTCCAACCCTTTCTGGCTGAAGCTATCTCAAACTGACTTCTAGAAGGTATGCCCTGCCTGGTAAAAACGCTTGCTTAATACTAATGCACTGCTTTGTACTTTCTAAAACATCTTCTCTCAGGAGCTGTATTATTGTCTGTATGCAACAAATAAAGAAACTGATAAGTGACTTGCCCAAGGTCACTAGCCTGTTAGTGGCCTAACCTTATTTAGCCCATTTAGGAGAAGGACAACTTTAAAAAATAACATGCCTCATAGTTTTAAATAAACGGTTTTTTTCCCCCGGTCATGTAGATTTGGATTTAGTATTTGACTTTCAGTTTTCTTTCTTGGGGGTAGGTTTTTTATCTGGAAGAGCCATTCTTTTGAGTTGTTCTCTTCCCTGGCATTTTTTCCCCTGCCATTTGATTGAACAAAACATTTTATGTTGACATTTCCATCCCTTCCCCTTTTGCCCTACTGGATTTAATAGGTGTCTCTGCATTTTATTCCATCAGTGTGTGTTTGTCTGAAGTTGGAGGCAGGAGGAGGGGGCTGTTCGTTTTGTTCTGAACCTAGTATTCCTTAATACTATTTCAGAGTTTTCTGTATTTTAACAGCATTCTGGTGTTTATATACAACATGGTGAGCTCCTAATTATCCATTCCATCTAAAGGAGCATTATCACAGATAATTCAAAACCACAGGGAATGTTTGGATTCTCCTCTAGGTAAGGGCTGTTTGCCCCCCATTTTATGGCTTGGGAACCTGTGTCCTAGCTTACAGTTTATGAGGCTAGCCTAAGTTTCATGTGAAACTGAGACCAGGTTTCTTAATTCCTTATCTCCTGCCTGCATCCTGCTGTTTCTCTGCCACAAAATGTGTTTCCCATGAATTCCAGAACCCAGATGCATTAACAACTAGTCCTTCAATTTATTCTCCTCCTGCAAACATCTGGTGTTCCCTGTGTCAGCTGACTGGTACCACGGCTACCAAGAGGCCTTTCCATTTTCTCCTGAGTTAGGCAATTGCTATGTACATCTTTCCCTCCTTCCTCTGCAACACCCCCACACCCCTGCCCCGACCAGCCACTACTACACATAACCAATGTCCTTATTTTCTACTGCTCCTTAGTGAAAGCTCGTATTGCACATGACCTCCTTGGGTGGCCAGGTCTTGCTCCAGATGCCTGTACTTAAATTTCATGCCTTCATTGCCCACTCACTTCTCAGCCCTCTGTGGGCTGACCTCACTGCTGACACTAGTCACCACTAACCTGCTATTGCCAAATCCAAGGAACATTTTTTATTCCTTACCTTCCTTGTTGTTTCTATAGCACAAGATACCTTCTCTCCTGAAACT